AGGAGTTGGGCAGGAGTTGGTTAGACTCTCCTGGAGTGAGACAACTCACCAAGTCTGTCTAGGATGTGGGGTGTCAATCTGCCAGACAATTAATTGGCCAGTCAGTCCCCACATCTGTGGCTGGCAAAGTCAGTCACTCCACAGGTGCTTCATTCAGACCCTCACGGTGTCTCTAGACAGCCAGCCAGCCCCTAGTCAGCCAACCAGACATGGCTGTCAGTCCATCCCTGAAGCAGTTTGTCAGACTGTCAGGCAGAGAGCCGAGTCGTCAGGCGGCCTGCCAGACAGGCAACTGCGGGACCAACTTGGCCCCAGAGCCAAGCTACCTCATTAAGAACCAGGCCCACCTGTGGGGGAAACTCGGTCTCTGCTGTCACTGTTGTTACCTATAACCTCCTTCAGCTCCAAGAGTGGAAGAGGCCATTAGTAATTCTCCCTCTCCTTCTCCTGCTCCTTTGCATTCTGGCAATGTCTCCTCCCGAGTGAGGTTCCTGCTACATACTAGGAGCCACAATGGAATGACATAAGATGCTGGTGACTTGTTCTGGCCAACCACCAGGTTAAGCATGGATGCCTAGGAGTCCCTCTTTCCTGTCTGGCTTTTGACCCTCCCTTGGGGAGCCCATGCTCTCCCTGGCAGACACAGGAGTCTGAGCTGCTCCTCTGGTTGGAGAGGATGTAACTAAAGTCTCCATGGATTTTTGCCAGCTCTTGTTTTTAGCAAAAAAGAACTGGGAGACCCGCATGTCTCTCCCCTGCATCCCCACGCTCCACAGTATCAGCTGCCTCCTGCCAGTGAACTTTCTGCTCTAGGCCTCTTCCTCCTTCCCATGGGGCCATCGAAGGGACACTTGTGAGACTTCTTTTTTTTGTGTGTCCTCTGTTGGGATGCAGCTTCCTGCTGAACTGGTTCTTGGGGCTCACTATGCCCAGGGCCACTGAGGGAGATGTGTACTCACTTGGCCTTAGTTCTGCAGCAACAGGCTCACTTACAGAGCGGGAAGGGAGGCTGGACGCTTATGTTCTATATCCACGTTCCCCAGAGGCAGAGGCCTCCTACACCCTTGCAGTTGGCTGCCTGTCTGTGCTTTCACACCTCCAGTGATGGAGAGCTCGCTGTCTCTCAAAGGAGCATTTTCGTTGTGGGATGGCCTCAGCACTTGGGAAGTCCTCCCACAAAACTCCATCTTTAGGTCTCAGTCGTACATGCTGGAGTCACCTGGATCAGGCCTGACGCTTCTCCAGTGTGCTAACTGTGGCCTAGACTTGGGTAAGATTGATGTAATTCCTGTGTGTTCAGCTCCCTGCAAGGGGAGAGGCAGGTTGCTGGGGAACTGTGGAGACAGCCATGTTCTTGGGGTAGTTGTAGTAGTGTGTCCTGTCTGCCTGAGTCTGTGGCTTTAAGTTGGGCTCCTCATGATACGTCTGGCAGTGGCCTGATGGCAAACTGGAGGGAATCAGAGACTTACACGGGTGCTTAGAGGTCTCTATTTCCTCTTTTGAACCCCGACACCATCCAGAGAAGCAATCACTGCTCAACCTGATGGAATGATGCAATAGACACAGGAAATGGAACCCAGCTGTACCCTGTAAGGTCATCCTCTAGTGGCCAATGCCAGAGAGGTCTCCGGCTCACCGCAGGTACTGCTGTGAGGACCATGGCTCAAGTCCAGTCCCATCAGTCTGCTGACCTGAAACCTCACAAGGAATCATGGTTACAGCTTTACAGTAGTTTGTACAGAGGTTGGTCCCTTAACAGTGGCTAAGAGTGCTGCTCCAACACATCTGCTCATCAGTTGTGGCCACAGGACTTCAAATGACCTCCGGGGTAAGGGGATGTGGCGAGGCACTCACCTAGAATTCTGGAGTCTGCTTTTATAATCTTATCCATTAAAAAGGGCTACTATGTTCTGTTGTTTTCAGTCAGCCACGGTGGCAGTTGTGGAAGTACATGGCCAATGGCGAAGAGAACCAGGAGGGACTGGGGCTCCGGAGGGTGCAGGATCGGCCTGTGTGGCTGGTATCCCCCGGGCTTGGCTAAGCAGAGGGCGTGCAGTCCATTAACCCAGCTCACCTCCTGCTCAGAAGCAAGGCTGGCAGGCTGAGTGATGGGCAGGCCAGAAACGTATTTACAAACATCCTTCTCGCCTTCACTTCCTCGGGTAAGCCCCATTGGTGGCATATAAATGAGAATCAATAGGCCAGTTATTAAACCGTAAATATTCCCCCCTTAGGCTCTCAGCAGCAGTTTGAGCTTTTGGTGGAGGGCAGTGGAACTGCAAACCCCATGCTCTGGCCTCTCAGCTGACGGAGTACCCACATGGGTCTTCCAGACTCAGCCCACCCATACACCAGCTCCCCAGAGTGGAGGCGACACTGCTGTGACCTTGAAGATTAGAAAGATGGCAGATCTGCACATCAAGAGAGGCCTCAGCCTACCACATATTTCTAAAAAAGGGAGGTGAGTGAGCAGGTCCGTCCCTCTCCTGCCTAGCCAAGACTAGAATGCCTGAGGCAGAATGGGGCCGAGGACTCTCTTCACACCCTACCCTTCCCGGGGGGCAAAGACAATCAAGACCACCCCACCCAAAGGTGTGGAGACACATCCAAAGACATTTGCCAGAAAGCAACTTGGGCCCCTAAGTGTGGTACTGAGTCAGTGCCATTGTCTACTATGGGAGAGGAACTGTAGTAGATGGGGAACAGTAGCTTAGGGGACAGTGACACTGTTCTGGAACATGTATCATGAGGTAGTTAACAGGGGCTGGGGAGACATGGGTGGAGCATAGCAATGAACATGGGAAAAGAAAAGTGCGTAAAGAATCTGGGCTCAATGAAGCACAGGGATGTTGGGTGGGCAGATGACTGAGTGGGAGAGCTAGGGACTTACGGTACTTGTACAAAAAGGGGCTGGTAGGCCGCTGTCTCTGTCTCTGTCTCTGTCTGTCTGTCTGTCTGTCTGTCTGTCTGTCTCTCTCTCTCTCTCTCACACACACACACACACACACACACACACACACACACACACACACACGAAGAGAGAACGGTCAGGGACCCTGGTAGGCTTCCTGCATTCCTTTAGTGTGTATCTCATGGTGGCTGTGTGTTAGTGGGGCATGGAGGATACAGTTCATTCTGATTTATCTCACTTTATACAAGAGAAAGGAGTGACAGGCAATCAAGGAGGAAGGACCAGAGTAAAGAAAGATGGTGCTGGAGACAGTGATGAAGGTGATGATGGTCGTGCGAGTGACGGTGATGGTGATGGTGGTGGTGATAATGAGGAATATGGCGTTGATAAAGATGCTGCTGCTGGAGATGATAATGGTAATGATGACAGTTATGACGGTAGTTGTCACTTTCTAAAGGTCTCTCTGGCTCTATGCCCTGTGCTAACCACTTTATCCCCTCCGTGTTGTTGAATCTCACAGTAACCTTATAGGCATCTGGGTCTTTCTCCATATCTAAAGGAGAGTGTCAGGTGACTGGTGGTGGTGGCCAACTCTTGAGGGGGCCTTGAATGCCTGGCTAAGATGTAGGACCATGAGGTCATGAGGATCTTCAGGCTATAAGTAGGGGATTGTCTAAACAAAGCTGCCTCCTGTCTGCTACCAGACGTCCAATCATGGCTGGGGGAACCCAGAGGAGTGAGATCTTTCTACACTGGGGCCCCAGGACCTCCTAGAGAGAGGTTGTAGGATTTCTCTCCTGGGTGTCGCTTCTCTCCACAGCTCTGGCTCTGCCAGGGGTCCTTGGCCTCTCCAGCACTATCTGGGTTTACTTCTATGGGGAGCCCTCAGTTCTGAGTTCACATGGTGACATCTAATCATCATGATGGGGGCTGCCTCTTCTTGAGATACAATGGTTAGCAGAACAGAGCAGGGACCTCTTCCAAACATCTTCTGGTAAAAGAGAAGTGTAGATCCTCAGAATCAGGAATTTTCCATCCTTGGTATATGCTAGAATTACAGGGTGTACCTTGGACCACTGAATGGACCCCTGAAGCAGGTTAGCCCAGCTCAAGCATGGACATGTCAACACTTAGTGTTTGGGTGATTCCACTATATAGCCAAAATTGGAAACTACCACAGGCACCATCATCCCCACACCCAGATATCATGTGATCAAGATCTCACAGGCACCTTTCTCCTTAGCTGACACTGTTACCAGTGACCTGCCCAGCCTCCCAGTAGGTGAGGCCTGTAAGACAGAGGTAGCAATTTTGTGTTACTTTTGTGTCACTATGTCCAAATACTCAACAGAAACAAGTCTCTGAGATCAGTCAGGGATCTGAGGCAAGATGGGCTCCAAAAGAAAGAACCCTTCCCAGCTGCCCCTTCCTCATATTCCAGAAAGAATGGCTAGCACTGCCCCCCACACACACACACCATGGCCGGGTTCTTGGCATGGTGCTTCTGGTTCAGCTTTATAGTCCAGGACTTTGTGTCACCTCTGTTCCCTGAGGATAGTGGCTGAGTGTTCGTCACTCAGGACTAAGGATATTTCATTGGGTAGAATGATTTCTTTGCATGCATGGAAATCTGAGTTCAGATTCCTGGTACACATGTGCAAAGCCAGACATGGTGGGAAACATCTCATAACCATGGTGCTGGGAGAGGGAGTCAGGCAACTCTAGGGGTTTGCTGGCCTGCCAGTATCATGAGCTCCAAGTTCAGTGAGAGACCCTGTCTCAGAAGATAAGGTGGAAATCCAACAGATTCAGCCTCTTCACATGCCCGCAAGACAAGCACACTTACACACACACACACACACACACACACACACACACACACACACACACACACACGGAGAGAGAGACACACAGACAGAGAGACAGAGACACAGAAAGAGAGACACAGACACAGAGACACAGACACAGAGGCAGATACAGAACATTTGAGTAGCCTGGCACCACTTGCAATGGCAATGGCCCGATGGGAGATCTTCAGGTTGGGCATGTCCTCAAGTGGAGATTGTGAGACAACTCTTCCTCATTCTAGTTTCGATTTCCGGGTCGTGATATGATGAGCACCTGGCTCCACTCTGGACCCCTACCAGCACGTGTTGCTGATCCACGGGTCCAAAGCACCCTCCAAACCGTGAGTACAATGAAGCTTTTTTGCTCTTAGGAAGTCGGCAACCCCAGGCACTTACTGTGGTGGAGGAATGGGTAACAGCATGCTTCTTGCTGGCTGCATGGTCCTCAGTCTTCCCATGGTGAGACGGAGAGTGTGACAGCGCCTCCCTGGTGGGGAGCTGAGGCTCGGAAGAGTTGACTTTTGATGCCCTTCACAAGAGCGCCGGGCACATGGCAGACACTCAGCTGAGCTGCTATTTTTATCCTTGTCCCTCCTGTGGCCTGTCTGCCCGTGGATGCTTGCCAAAGGTGGGCTGTGTTGAACAAGAGTGGCCACTGGTGAGTTTCTTGCCCCAGATCTGAACCCTCTTTCTGAATCTGGAGAATTTCCACTCCGGCCTGCTGCTATAAAGGTAGAAAGTGCCACAATTTCCCAGCCTCCCTTGCACCTCAGTGCAAGCTCTGTTGGTTATGTGGGCCATGCTGCCTGCCATCTGAGCTCTAGGTGGCCTTGCAGGTGGCTCACTCAGTCTCGTGGCGATTGTTCAGATGAAGCCATGGTGGGCAGCAGTGCGGTTCATAGCCTTGAAGGCAGGAGAGTGGTGGCCTTCTGTTGTCAGTGGCCATGTCCTCCCCATACTGGTTTGGCTTTGTGGTCTGGTAACTAGGATTTGTAGTCCTTTTCCAGTGATACTCAGAGTCCCTAGCATCCACTCAATGGATCCTATTTCTGACCATGGTGTTGGCCTCTGTTACCTGTATGCCTGAGCCTGCATGATACAGAAAGGAGGGAGTCTCTTTGGGACATGATGGTCTATACAGAGGGGGCAGCACCTTGATGGGACCTGATGCTTTGTGGAGAGGCATGCAGGGCCAGGCAGTCTTGGCTGGAGAAGGGTCTTAGGTTAATACAGAGAGTAGGAAATGATCAAAGTGCACTAGTAAGTGGTCAAAGTGCAGAGAATAAGGGACTGTTGAGTGTTAGGCCCTAAATGAGGCATGGATATCAACTCCGACCCCCAAGACTTAGGGAATGTCATGGAAGAAGAGAGAGAATGAAGGTAAGAGCCAGTAGATGGGAAGGAATGCCATCTTCCAGACGTGACTTGGCTGCTGCACTCATGAGCTCGCTGAAGCTGTGGTCACTTGCACAAGACCTTCGCACGGCTAAGCCAGCACTATCGGTCAATATTCCAGCAGGTGGCACTAATTAGAATCAGTGAATTACAATATATATAGATATAGAAATTGGTAGATAGACAGACAGACAGACAAACAGACAAGACAGATCTGGTGTTTTAAATGGAGTGAACAGACCTCTTCGGACCTAATTCTTAGTCCCGGGAAGGGGGAGCTTCTACTGGCTTTGTACAGATCATAGGGTCTCTCTCCCATTCAATGCTGACTCTGGTATGAACACTGCATAGACTGGATGATGACCTAAGGCTCTGACCCTCTGTCTACAGCAGTGTTCTGAGCAGGTTGGTGACGGGCCCATGGTCAGTCTCTCCCTCCATGGAAACTTGCAGGAAGATTAAGCCCTCCCCTTGACTCTGCCACGCTGGATCAGGGCTCATAGTCTGGGATTCTCATGGGTGTTAGTAGTTGAGAGCCATGCTGACATTAGTACTTTTGTGCCAGGATATTGATTGGCCTGAAGCCATGGGTGGGACATCCATGAGTCTGGTTTGTTCACTGTGTGTGTTGTGCCCCTTTTGTGAGAGTATGAGCATGTATATTCAGAGGCCAGGGGTTGAAGTCATGTGTTCTCCTTGATTGTTTTCCACTTTCTTCTTCTTTTTTCTTGAGATAGGGTCTCACTATGTAGCTCTGGCTGGTCTGGCACTCACCATGTAAGCCAGGCTGACCTCAAACTACAGAGAGCCACCTGCTTCTGCCTCCCAAGTGCTAGGATTAAAGGCATGCACCACCATGCCTCTCTATCTTATTGTTTTCAGACAGCATCTCTCAGTGCACTTAGAACTCAACTGGCCAGCCAATCAGCTCCAGAGATCTGCCTGTCCCTACACCCACTCCCCAGAACTCCCCCAAGGCCTTGCTTTTACATGATACCTGGGGATTTGAACTTAGGTGGATATATATGCATGACAAGCATTTTACCTACTAAACCAATCTCCACAGATCCCTTGACACCTTAAGAGGAAACGGGGCCATCTCTGGCTTGCAGTCTTAACTCTTCATCTCTAAGCTCAGGAATGTATATGAACCCAGTGCCGTCACCCATCACCAGATCTAGTGGATCACAAGGCCCCATCCCTTTTATCTGGTCCCACATGACATCACTGGTCTTTCCCTCATCCCCTAAGCCACATCTCTCTTCACCCCATCCAGAAAGAGGCTTTTCTCTAAGAATCGTAGCTGTTCTGGGCAGGGCAGACTGGCTTGGTTTATTTACTGCTGTCATTAATTAGTTTTGTTGTGGATGAAAGACAGGTCCCTGGAGAAGACCAGCGCATTAGAGCCCATTATTCCGTCATTGCTCTGGACTTGCTGGCAAGAGGCACAGGCCCTGTCTGCTGTCAGCCCCACACAATTAATTAGCCCACAGCCTGTGTTCCCCTTGGGCCCAAGGGCTCTGTTCTGGCATCTAGTGTCCTTCAGTCATCTTTGTCCCAATTTTAACTGTGCAGAGGTGTAGAACAAGCCCTCTGGGATGAGAGGGCACCTACAATCAGGTGTAAGACAGGGATCTGGTGTAAGGCAAAAGGCGTACCTCCTGGCCAGGGGGACCTCTTGTCCTAATGACTCTCTCATCGAGTGAGTCTTAGGATACATCAGGAGCTGAGCTAAGTGCTTTGAGCACAAGTGTCTCACAAGGGTCCCAGGAGACACCGTCTTAATTTACTACATGAAGAAGTACACACTAAGGGAGGTGGATGGGTGGCTTGTCCACGGGCACACAGTTGGCAGGAGTCTGCCTGGGTCTGTCCACTCCCGAATGCTGAGTTTTAACTACTTAAAATGCTCCTCCGTTTGTCTCATGAAGGTGGGGGCTGGCCTGAGAAAGTAGGAAAAGTTGGGGGCACCATGGAACGAAGCAGAGGGGATTCCCTAGAGGGCCTCATCTCAGCTGGTGTCAGAAGACACAAGTTTCAGTCTACTCCCTGAATGAAGGTAGGCAAGTCCTCAGTTTCTCCTTTTTTTTTTCTTCAATGATTAGGTCTTTGATGGCACAGATTCTCTAAAGAGATAGAAAGGCCCAAAGGTGCAGGCAAGATGGCCTTTGGGAAGGTCATCTCTCTGAGCTGCAGCTTTCAACTTGGGAAAATGATGTAGGTGTCTAGTCATGCTAGCATCATGCAGCCGTGTGGGGCTAAAATGAGGAAACATGACCCAGGGCCTAGCACAGCACCTGACTCCTAATGAGCTAGGTTAAGTGCTATGGTGGTGGTGGTGGTGGTGGTGGTGGTGGTGGTGGTGGTGGTGGTGGTGGCGGCGGCGGCGGCGGTGGCGGCGGCGGCGGCGTCAGCAGCAATAATGATCACAGAGGAAAAGGAGGATAAGTGACTGATTCTCAGGCCAACTTTTCCCTGAATCCTACGGAGTGAACCTGAGGTTGGCCGACTGCTCTACTTTGCGTATCTAACACAGCCATGGCCCAGGAGAGGCCTGCGTGGCTAAGCCTCCAGAATGACCCTGCTTGCTCAAGGCTTGGATTTCAATCCTATCTGAGTCTCCATTTACCATGCATCCTGAACAAGCCACCTATGTTGCCAGCCTTCCTGAACATGACATGGACAGTTGGCCAAGACCCTAGAAAGACACTTCCACTCCACAGGGACAGCAGTAGCCTCTTGTGAAGGCTGCCACTGGCCCTCTGTGTGGCTGACTCAGGATGTGGGGGCTGGGTACCTTGCCCGAGGGTGCTAAGAAGTTAATTAAACTCTCCAGAAGCCATTTATTAAGAGAAGGGTGATGGTGTGTTCAATACCAGCCAAGGCTTGGTGCACAGAATGAGCCTTCCCTTGGCTGTGAATAATGGGTCCTCCCCTCGCCAGCATCCCTGGTTCTGAAGGATGTTCCTGGGGTGGCCATGGCTCATCTTAATGGCCTGCTGCTGAGGAGCCTGGCAGGCCAGTCCCCAGAACTTGTCACTTCCCGCCCTGGGGACTACCCTTGGTCTTCTGTGTTTCTAACTTCTCCAGATGGGTCTGAGGCCCAGTTAACCCACATGCCCCCTTGTCTCTCAGCTGCCAGGGGAAAGCTGGGGGCCACTAAGGCCACAGACTACTTGTCTACCACTCTCATCCTGTTTGCCATCATCTGCCCTGCCGTGAGGCGGACAGGACCAGTTTGTTGTTGTTGTTGTTTGGGGGAGCAGGGTCCTATTTGTAGCCACAGATGACCTGCCTCCACCTCTCACGTGGTGAGATCACAGGCATGAGCCACTACATTCGTCTTAGGAACCATTTGGAAGGGCAAAGAAGAAAGTATGGCTTGGCTGTGATTGGTGTAGGTTTTGCTAGTCTGTCCCTGTTACTGCTCAACCCTATCCTCTGTCACATTCATGTGGTCACCCTGCAGGGTCCCTAAGACAGCTGTCTGGCTGGGCACCTAGCTAGTCTTCTTTAGCACTACTGTGGTGGGACCCACCTGGCTCCCTCTTGACACCACTGTGTTCTAAGTGCGTGGGTAGCCGTTGAGGCAGGGGCCTTAGGAGGTGGCTCAGTCAGGACAGTGTGTGTGTAGCACAGTCATGGAGACCTGAACCCAACCCCCAGAATCCACATAAAAGCTGGGTGTGGCAGCATCCATTTGTAATCCAAGTGCTGAGAAGACGGAGGCGGGTGGAGCCCTTGGGTGCACAGGCTAGCCAGACTAACCTAATTGGTAAAATATGAGATGCAGATTGAGGAAGATACCCGACACTGACTTGTACCCTCCATACACATGCACACACATGTACACACACACACACACACACACACACACACACACGCACGCACACTCACACACACTCAGGAAGGCTGGCCTGGGACAAAGGAGATCTTAGGTCACTGG